GGGTGTCCGTAACATCACCCTCCCTTCAGGCTAGTCGCCCACGACTAGACATGCATGCGTCGCGGATGTGCCTTGTGGTAATCGTCAATTGCCTCGTCGGCATCTTGCATCAAGTTGGCAATTGGCTCCCAGCTGTTGTGGCGGTCTGAGTATCCCTTCCACTTGACCAAGTACATCATGCTCCAGTGTGCACCTCGGCCGATGATCTTGGAGTTGATAACGGCCTCGACCTCATATCGTTCTTCACCGTCGATCATCTCAGGTGGGGGCTCTGGCGGGTTGGCTTGATTTGCGAAAGCGGGTGGGGTGTAGGGCGTGAGGAGAGCCTCGTTGAACACGTTATGCGTCTTCCACGTTAGGGGAATGTCCAAGCGATATGCGGAGGCGCCAATCTTCTCAAGGATTTTGAAAGGGCCATGACAACGTTCATTAAGCGCGGGTGAAGGACGCTTGGACTTGAGGTTGGCCGCTTCAAGCCACACCTGGTCACCAACCTCGTAGTTGCGAGCGTCCTGGCGATGTTGATCGTAAACCTCCTTCATGGCTTCCTTTGCCTGGTGCAGCGCAGATGCAATCTCCTCATGAACCTTCTTGAGATGTTGAGCGTATGACGTGGCGGCAGGTACGTGGTCCATGGCGCGGGGATTGAGTCCACTATATGGGTGGCGTCCCTTGGAGGCGTAGAATGGTGTCTCGTGATGCAAGGAGTGAACCGTGTTGTTGTACGAGAACTGCGCCGACTTGAGGTACTTCACCCAGTCGCTCTGGTGGTAATCCACATAGAGGCGGAGGAAGGTTTTAAGTTCCTGGTTATAACGCTCGGTGAGTCCATCGGTCTGTGGGTGGTACGCCGTGGAGGGGTTCCCGGCAATGCCAAGCTGGTCCATGGGAGCGTGCGTGAAGGAGGAGACAAAGGTGGAGCCGCGATCCGTGATGATCTTGCATGGTAGGCCGTGCTCACTGTAGACGTGGTCGTGGAAAAGTTGGGCAAGCTGGCCTGAGTCCGTGGTATCCCTGCAGGGAATGCAGATGACGCGACGACTGAAGTGGTCGTTGACGTTGAGTACCATGTTGAAGCCTTCACATTCCGGTAGAGGGCCCACAAAGTCTACGGAGATAACCTCAAATGGTCGAGTGGGTGTCTCGTTGGGTTGGAGCGGTGCGTGAGGGCTTTCTCGTCGGTACTTGATGTGCTGGCAGAGTTGGCATCCTGCCACGTAACGTCCTACGTCCTTTCTGATGCTTGGCCACCAATACGTCCTTGTGATGAGCTCTTCCATTTTGTAGCGTCCTGGGTGTCCTGCAGCGAGCGAGTCATGGTGCGCCTTGATGATATCCGCGTGTAAGGCTTCGTCAGGCGGCACATAGATGCGGTCGTCGTGCATGAGCAGGCCATCTGTGTGCTCTTTCCAGCGCAAATTCTTGATGAGCAAGGCAAGCTCAACGGATTCCTCTCTCTCGACAGTGCAGTCTTTGATACGACAGATCGTGGGTTTGTCTTCACCGGCGAAATCGAATGCTGTAGCGCGAAGTAGGACACGGAAAAACTCGGGTTTGAGCAGGACAACGTCCTGGTTGTCCTTCTCCCCCTTTTCATGTCCTGCTTCGCGTGAAAGCGCGTCAGGACGACCCATAAGGCCACTGGGTTTGTGATGGAGCGTAAAGTCGTATTCCTGCATCTCGGTGAACCAGCGAGCCTGGCGGCGATTGAGGCGGCGAGCTTCGCGGAAGTACGTGAGATTCTGGTGATCTGACCAGATTTCGAACGTATGACGGGCGCCTAGAAGGTACTGTCGCCATTCCTCAAGTGCAAGCATAATGGCCAGAAGTTCCTTGTCGTAGATCTCATAGTTGCGCTCTGCTTCGCTGAGCGACTTAGAGAAATACGCGACCGGGTGCCATTTGCCGTCTGTGGCCTTCTGCGAGAGTACTGCACCCGTTGCGAAGTCAGAGGCATCAGCCTCGACCCTGAACGGGGAGTCGTCGACTAGGATGACGAGTACGGGCTCAGATGTAACGCGCAGCTTGAGTTCCTCGAATGCGAGCTGTTGTTCGACGCCCCATTCCCAAGGGACGTCTCCGGTAAGGCGATG